TGAGCCATCGACTGTTAATCACTATGATGTTCGGTGATCATGTTACTGGACATGCAGCGATTTTTCATCCGTGGCTGAAGTGAATCTTCACTTTACACGCGGTGCTAACGTGATCGTCGACGATTCCTCTTTAAGGGGATACTCCTCCGAGAAGGATTGGCTCAAACGAGGGACACTGTGCAAATGACGAGGCTGCAAAGCCGAAACACGTGTATTGCACTCTATAGGTGCCATGACAGATCTCATAAAAGGCTTATAATCAACCTCATATAAATTTTCAGGTAACTGACAGCGTACGAAAGTTGAACGGCACACCCGTAGCACGTGAAGGTTCTCCAAGTAGCACAAGGAGCAGTCCAGTTGTAAGTTTAAGGGGGATAATGTTGCACATTATAAACATGTTGATTTTATGAAATGTGTGCGTAAGTACGGTAATACCCGAGGTAGAACGCAAAATACCCAATCAAACACTTCTTGATTTGTTCCGTTAATTTGCAACTTGAATCCATGAGGGTCATCGAGCTCGTGTTTAGGCTGAATTGCGACACGAAGATTTGTTGTCTTCTCTCCTCAATGACATGACGCACATTAGTGGTGCATAGTTTTTTGATGTTTCAAAATAACGGTGCAAGAGCACTCTCAAATCTTTATCACAGGCAATTGTTCACCCTGTGTGAAAAGAAGGATGTTCGCTGCCTTGAGATTAAGTATTCTTTTAGAATCACATCGATTCCAGCTGCTATCCATTATGGAGGACGAGAATGAAAATAAAATAACTTATCAATTCATTCACAAAGTCATCACAGTGACTGATCAAAATCTCAAATACACGGTGAAAGAAACAGACGGAAATAAAACGCTTGTCAATAACATCTCAATTAGCACAAAACTAACCCTAATTTGTTGAATAGAAATTACTCTTAGGTAATCGTGCAGGAGATTGTCGAACATGAAAATCACAAAATGAGAATGTTTGAAGACAGCTAGCAACAAAACTAGTAAAATGCATAGCCCGTATATATAAATGTGTAGTGCAGTTTGGTCGACCTTTTCTTTCTAAAGGACTTTTCAATTATTTTTTTCTACCTCTGTAGTTGAGTGAAATATCTTATTATTTAGTATTCTATCAATCTGCCAATTTTTTCAGTTATCACAGTCGACATCGCTGTCGAACTATTTCCCGCCGACAATGGTCGGACATCCGTTGTACGGCGGTGCAACGTTTGGCGAAAGGGAAGGCAGTCCAACGAATTCCGACGAAGCGAGTGAATGTGGTGCTTATGACAGCGGTCAAAGGTTTGTTAGATGGTGAACTAGATCTCACATGGCATCGTGCCTTGAAGAGCTTTATCAGGCCGGAACAGTAATCTTATTATTCTATGATAGTCCACGAAATTTATAATAAGTGGTAGTCAGTACGCTTCCAGTCTCGAGGAAATATCATAATCGTATTGTTCGAAGAGCTTGAAAAGTCAATTCTCCAGAGATTTGCTGTATTTCAAGAATTTCTGATTGAAGATGTAACCAAAATACCTCAAAATTCCATAGATAAGAGTAGTTTATTTTGGCTAAAACGGACGGATGATTACGCGCGCTTTTCGGTAATGAATAATTTTTCAAGTACTTTTTGAAAGTGAGAATAAATAAAGAGAACTGAAAGTCACTAAATCAATGAAAGAAACTAAAAATTACTGAAAGTACTATTCTGCGAACCGCTCTTGTCTATGAAAATTCAAGTTAATGATTCATTTTTGTTTTTAGCTCCACACTAACACCAGTGCATCTACGAAAAGCCAAGCTTATGTTCTTCTACACGCGCTATCCGAATTCCACATTGTTGAAGTCGTATTTTCCGGATGTTCGATTCAATAAGAACAACACAGCGCAGTTGGTGAAGTGGTTCAGCAATTTCAGGTAAGAATTTAAAACAATTTTAATTTTTCTCATAGCTATGAGATATTATCTGGGCATTACCTACACGGCTAAAGTAACAATGTTTGTATTCTCTGACAGTCAGCCTTCTTCACAGATGATTTCTGTGAGCGATAAAGTACTTTTTTCTCTGAACGTTAAATAATTTCTTCGTGAGATCATTGTTTCTTGAGTTTCCGAGGAGCACACCTCAAAGTCTTTCCACTTCACCATGATAGGTCCACTGGCTCTAATGAATTGGGATCAAGTTCGCCACCTTGTTGTGGATAAACTTGGCGCTATAAACTGCGACTCGTCATCCACCAACACCCTGCGAGAATTTTGCAATTCAAAATAGCAAGTGACCAACTAAACACAGAGTTCTCAAAGTTTTGAGTTATTTTGGTAACTTAGTTGAGAGTTTTATGAAACCAAATGCCAGTTCTTTCAGGGTATTGTAACTTTGAAGTAAATTTTTCTCAAAAAATAGCAATGAAGTAGCTGAACTCCATTGCTAGCTGAGATCTGGTTTAGATATGTGGTCTGTTTGGAAACCTTTCTTTGAAGCCGCTTCTAGCCTTAATTATGAAACTTTTCAAATGGAAATTCAATGCGATTCTTAGTTACGCATGAACTACTTTATGATTGAATATTACAAGAATATTAGCAAATACCTTTCATATGGGTGAATCACCGGTGGCGCCGTGGCCGTGCGGTTGTGATGATGCCCGCAGCGCGCGTGGAGCCGAGTCCCACACCCCATTTCTCTCCGGCAATCAACAACAGTGCCTTATGGAACGCCACAGCTAGGCTATCTTCGAGATTGCACAGAAACTCGCTCAATCAGTCTTCTACGCCGTTTAGGAAAATGACGGAAAAACAAATTGGATGCTAGAGGTCGTGGAATCCGCACAATGTAAATAACACTATGATAACGGATCAAATAAAGTTCTGCAGTGCTAAATGACTCATCATAGTTCGAAACTTATTTATTTATCCTCATTTTTATATCCACTAAACGCTTTATAAGAAAACCTAACTACCAGCTATTTATAAGCCAAATCTGGCTATAAATGTCGAATAACTCAAATCGTAGCAACCAATTTGTCAAAGTTATTTTTGGCTCCAAGAACGCATGTAGCGCAGTGGTTAGAGGTGCTCTGCGTTGCACACAAGATCAGTGGTTCGATTTCGCGCTCATGGCTCACCAAGCCAACCTTCCCTCTGGAGTCGGTAAGTTGGTACCAAACTGGTCCAAACTTGTATGAGAGGACAAGCAGCACTGGCTCGGTTCAGCGGAAGGCCACCGTGAGTCTTTGCAAAGGACAGATATGCATTCAATAACCTCAAACGGCGTTAAAAAATAAAGACGAATTCATGGCGCATCCATCAGGGATTGATCATTTCCGAGAGCTTTATCCTTTATTATCTCTAGCTGCACAGATATGCGTTAGTGTTGAACGTGAGAATCTCTGACTCTGATTATTGCTGTAGATGTGCAATTTTATCGTTAGCAAGTTGGAAATGGTTTGACTCCACACAGAATTTCTGTAGTAAATAAAGCGATTTGATGGAGCAATACTAAGAACTGAAACAGTCACCTGTAGTCCTGTTGATCCATTGAGTAACTAAATCAATCACCAATAAAGTTTTCTCACCACAGAGACTCAGAGGAAAAAAAGAACTTGAATAGTCCGGCAATCACACAAAAACTTTCAAAATTCTGCGGAGACCATTTGATTTTTCTTTTCTTTTGGAGACAACATAGCCATATTTAGCTCAATAGGCACCATTGGTAGTTATTTATTTCAACCTTGCTACCACATTGCAGTTTTGAATTCTTCAAAATTTGTGATTTTTTGAGAAACAAATCCACCTTTCTAGAGCACAGTTTAACGCCTAGGTATATATAATCAAAACTAAGTTAGCCATGAAAACTTAATTCGTCGCGACACAGCTTTTTGTGCTTGATATGCTGTTGATGACTACTTAGTTCATTCAACAATGCTCACCGATAACATTACCTCCCGGCGTTCAATTATCTTCACGAACCTCTTTTATTCCTTGATAATTTGCTGAGTTTTATGAGACGGAACTGTGTTCAGTAAAAGCGGATCCATATCGTATCTGTGGAATACGACGTTTCATCAGCTTTTCAAAAAATCGATACGTATCTTATGCGTAATGTTCAGTCATCGTTGTTCATGACCTCGAATTAGCATAGTTGTATGGCCTCGGTTCACGCCTTATTGATGACGTAATGTATGTGTTCGTCGTCGACACCCCGCTGAGTATTTGACATGATTCAAAAGACGATAAGACCGAGAATGTCTGAGATTTATGAAGATGTCAGATGAATTGACAGATCGTTGTTGGTGATGAATGGAAAGATCGCGTGAAAAATATAAGCGGGAAAGAGCAATGAATGGGCTGGCAATGAGTATATTTTCATCTCGTCAACTTTGAATAATGAGAGTCATTTTATCATAAGCTTGTCATTGATTGAATGACTCAAGGCGATATTTCCATGTAAAACTAAAATTTTTGGTGTGGCGCAAAAAGTATCGTATTTTTGCTTTTATTTATAGTGTTCATAAGACCACGCTCAAATTTCAGTTTTCAATAGATCTCTTCATTATTCTTTGAGCCAACATGTCATTGGGTGTGGTAAGGGCTCTTGCACAGCCCGATGCACGTGTTTCGATCTTACAGTCTCGTCAGGAGGGCAGAACCCGTCTCTTTTAATTTTTTTTATGACCTAAGTCTCTTGCGAGCCTGCTCTTCATACAGGGAGGTATTGGAGACAAACGATATACACTGTATGTCAAGTGAAATATCACCGAACTTACAGGGTCACTCGATTGCTCTTTGGGTAGTATTTTCATAATATTATACCTTTAGTTTGAGTGTTTTCTTAAGAACAGATTCAAATTTCAATAGATCTCTTCATTATCATTTCATCATTGTCCTATTTTTGGTCTTTCTTTTCTTCAACAAAAGATGAGTCTGAATTCATTTTATTTGACCCCTCTTGCGGTGGTATGATGTCAATATAGTCCCCATAACGTAGAGCGGTGTGTAATGACATTTGCGCCAGCTGGGATTCGAACCCAGATCTCAATTTTTACAAAATCGCATGCTGAACCGTTGCACTGCCGCCGCCTTTGGTGCGCCAGCTGGGATCGGAGTCGGTAGTGCAACGGTTCAGCACGCGCTCCCGGGAAGAGTGAGATCTGGGTTTGAATCCTAGCTGACGCAGAAGATAAGTCTTACTAGGCATTTCATTCTTGTATACATATTGTCGTCCAGCACTGCTTTTTGCCTAAATCCCAGCGTAGTTCGAGAAGCTGGTTTGTTCCGAATATAGTGGTCTTTTCAAGTATTTTTACGTGACTGTCCGTCACAACTGCGAATACAGCTGACTATGTGTAGGTGAGACCGCGCAGCAACACACTCACATCCTCTTCAAGTCGACTCCTTAGTTTCCTCGACCAACTGCCGTTATTCTTTTCATTGTTTCAGCTAACTGTTTTTATGCATTGCATTCAATGTGTATCTTTCTGGATTCCGGAATCGAGACACTTGAAATGCGCCATTCATCCCACAGTGCATATGCGAATACATAAAAAAACCATTTATTCAGTGTTTATTAATGTTAAGATAGACCCAAACCATAAAAATTTCATGCCTCATTTAATCGTAATCGCGCGTAGCCATTGCTTTGAAAATTTGAAGTGTTTTCAGAGACAGGCTTACACGTTTTTGCCTGATTTTGTATTAAAAATCACTGATTTTGCTTTGAACTAGGTTAACATTGTTTCGAACTTCGAATGTGATCTGAGATCGAAAGCGCTATTGCCTTGTCAGGAATCTCAGGTTGTATTCATTGACTTAGAAGATTGATAACTCATTTGATGCAAATTTCGAATTTATTTTAGAAAACTGAAAAACACTGAAAACAGTGCATAATCCGCGCTCTTCAATTTTAACTTTTCCAATGTTTCAATGTGGTTTCATTAGCGATGAACATGAGAGCAGTCGATCACTCTTACTAAGGAGTATTAACCTAATAATGTACTTTCACCGACATTTGACGCATATTGAGCTGATCGAATTCCTTCGCCGATATATTTCCGACGTGCGCCTTCAATACACCCCCATGAAGGTCTTAGAGGGAATTTGTCACGCACTACTGTAATCCCATTGCAAGGAGCGCTCGTTCGCTCGCGTGCGCATGCGAAAAGAACTCGATTAGTGAAACGAAATCTTCCAGTTTGGGGTTTTGAAGTACAAACAAGTCTCTTCAAGGGAGCTGGCATTCATTAGCTACTGTATGTGTAGTTGATTTTGGTCGATAGTTTGACCTTACATTTTCTAAACACTCATAATACCAACGTGCTGCGCGATACAATTAACTCTGAACCTTAGTTAGACGATTCACCCACAGCGGATACGCGTGCTGCCACCACACTACCAAGATCATTATTCTGCTACCACTTTTACAGCAATATTTGATATCAAAGATGTCAGTAACTAGTCGTCAACGTATTTGGTCTAGTAAACACTTATCGGCATTGAATCAGTCGAACTGATACCTACTGGACATCCATAAAAGTTCCTTATTTTCTCACTTTTATAGAAGTGTATGATTTTACAGCTATATATTGAAAGATTGTTTTTTTTTTCATTATTCACGATCGGCACGAGTGAGGATTAGTGAATTTACCATTCGTGGATTAAGTCCGCCAGATTTTTGTAGCAGTTCACAAATTATAAGGAAACCTGAAAGACATTATAGTTTCGATATGATGCTTTCTTTTCGAAAGCGTTATCATGGATTGTTTGCCAGACTCTCCTGTAGGATGATCGTCACCTTCATTGGATCCTGCAAATGTAGTCATTCTGCTAAATTGTTGGAATAATTCAGAACGGCACCATGTAGACTTCGCAGTTACTTGACTACGTATAGTAAAGAATACTTAACACTGCACATATATATGAATATAATTACGAAAGGTAGAAATTAATCCGATAGAACGGTAATAGTCGCTTGACCTGAGTTTAGCCTTTCCTGAACTAGGATGGCACTTAGATCACCCAGACCACTCACCGAGAGAAAATCGGTGGAATAGTGATAATGTATGCTTATATACTTCACTGTTTTTAATGAGCAGGCGTGAGGCTATTAACAGCCAAGAAGTATTTGAGCAAGTGTCTAATTCTTCTAGGCTTTGCCACATCTTTAGCATATCTCATTGCGCTGTGACCGTCTTCTGCGTGGCTTGCTGAGTTTCTTCGTGAATTCACTTTGGGAATTTGCGGCCTTCCCCATCATTGTCTTGTTGAATGCTATGCAGAATATCCAAGCTAGAACATTTCTAGAGCATTATGACAAACTGACCATTACGTATAGGAAATGTTTTCTGCCTTGTGATTAGGATTTCAACAATCGTTGTGATTTGTCGCACATGATAAAGGCCTGTGAGTGAGTGTAGTGCCAATAGAAGTAATAATTCGTCGTATTATCATTACAAGTATTGTGCGTCAAAAGGGACGGTACTGACGTTGATTCATTAGAAGAATGCGCTTTGCATTCACCTTCATTTAAGGTGAATGAATGCGTATCTGGCCTTCGCAATGACACGTGGTGGCCTACCGATGTACCTTAGTGCTGCTCCCCTCCCAGACAAGTCTAGCTCTAATTCATCGACCCTGGAGGGATGGAAGGCCTGGTCGGCTCTAAGCACGGGATCGGAGCATCGGCCATTGCTTGATCGATTGTCGCAAAGCATCTCTAAACACTGCGCTGTAGTGATAAGATGGCAAAGCATAGTTTATGGTAATATTTATTATCTTTACTGTTGCTAATGGATTTTAAATGATATGTAGAGAAAACAATAATGGTAAAAAAAACTCCCGAGAAAATAATTTATCGTGGTTCTATAGATTTATGAGTGCTCTGACATTTCACTCAGCTAAAATATAGAGCAAGATAAATTCTCTACTTTGGGAAAATAATCTGTGTGACGCTTTTTCGCTACTAATTTTCTGTTTGAAAAATTTTTAGAGATCGTCTACCGCAATTTTCACTTGATTTGTTTTCGAAATGATAGCAAAAATTTTGACATTGCATTAAGTATAGATCAAAACACATATGAGTAATGCAGTGCATAAATGACCGGGTAGAAGAGACATTCAATCCTTTTTTCTTGTCATGCAGCTGTAAATACGCTGAAGAAAAATTATTAATGATGTAGTGGTAGGCATATAGTGTTGATTACTTTTTTTCTGGTAAACGACCAACTGTCCACTGCTAAAGACCTACTCTTGATAAGGCAAAACAATACTAGTAATAACAATAATAATGATGACTATAACACCAAATCTAGTCCATGAAGAACACGAAGAGGCCAAAACGTTGCTGCTATTTCACAAAGTTCTTAAGAGCAAAACTACTTCTCCATTTGTTTAGAAACCGTCCAAAGAATTTGAGGACTTGTTCTGCGTCGAGCTTTACTGCTGTTCCAATTTAGAACTCTACTTCGCGTTTCTTCGAGATTTGTAGGATAATCGGCCTGCTTAGCCGCGCGCGACAAAACGATGTCGTAGTCGGCATGGTACGGTAAGTTGCTGATAAGCCGATCAACTAGCGGGGCTTTGAGTATTGTCTATGCGGGGAAACGCTCACGAAAACCGGCTCGTCGAGTGCTCGTTTCGGGAACTTTCGAAGAGTATTATGTACAAAGTATATCTGTGGTAGACAATAAGGGATCGATAGGGATTCCTAAAGTTAGCAAATAATCGATCAATCACTCATTCAGTACGCTCCTTATGCACCAAGAACGCTACTTGATTGATCTGAGTTTGTCGACTTTTTAAACTTTGGCATCTTTAATTAATAAAATTCAGTTTTGAAGATTGCGTCTGTTAAGCCGACGAGCAGTTGATGTCAGTTCTCGTTGTGTTCCGACGGTAAATGTTTCGACAGGGCCGAACACAACATCGGCGGCTAATACGCAGATTTTTATGAGATTGCATCGAAATGCGAAATTTAGGAAGTGGCTTACAATACAAGGCACATTGGTTTTATTCCAACCCTTAGCAGGCTAAACCAGCTATACCTTCTCTTTGTGATCAGCACTGCGTAGTTCTAAACCTTTCTCGGAGTGTAGACATCTATAGGGTACAATCAATAGCCCACCGTAAGTTACTGCGTAAGCCAGATTTACACTTACTCACCCCTCCAATGCATATATCAGAGCGAATGCATGGCTTCTCGTCTAAGAAATGATCAGTATTCAGCGCTTCATTTCGTAAATCAGTTGTTGACAGAGCTAACCTTCCAAGAACCATGCCAACAGCTCATCACTACACCTAATTAAAATCATACATAACTTTTTTGGATGATATTGAAGATTTTACGTTTGCTCCAAATGGATTACACATTTATTTCGAGTGTTTTATTAAGACCACACTCGAATTTCAATAGATTTCTTTATTATTTTTTGAGCCAGCACGTTATGTGGCCTGGTAATTTTTTTTCTTTTTTTTTTTTTGTAGAGCCCAATACACGTGTTTCGACTTCAAAGTCTCGTCAGTCGGACAGATTCCTTCGTCGTTTAGTCTTTTTTGCCAATATCACTGCATTGGCAAATACTTGTAATACTTAAATCAGAAAAGTTTGAATTAGACTGCTCTCACATATTTTGAACTTTTTTTCTCACTTGCTAGTCTGTGATAAATGTTCGGTGTAGAACTGATTTACGGTGCCTGGAAAATGTTCACCGTTTCGAAGAAAGCTTTTACAAACATTGTTTTCAGGGAATTCTATTACATTCAAATGGATAAATTCGCTCGTCAGGCATTGGCGGAAGGCATCACATCACGTGAAGATATTGTCGTCACAATGGATTCAGAAATATTTCGTACACTCAATCAGCACTATAACAGAAACAATCATGTTCAGGTACAGCTTCTTTTCTTGCTTCTCGCGATTTTGTAGCTCAGACGCTGTCGTTCATCTGCATAACAAATTGTACGTTGTGTTAATTTAGCCGCCTGAGAGTTTGGTTAATGTGGTACAAGAATCTTTGCGAGAGTTTTTTGACGCTATTCGACTTGGTAAGGATGCAGAACCATCGTGGAAGAAACAAATTTACAAG